AAGAAAGACCGTCCATCATTAAACAGAGGTGGAGGCCTCCGTTTTCAGTTGTCCCCCTCCTAAAGTGCGGCTATTGCCAGTATCACTCCACCCCTGTTAACAATAAGTGTTAATTAGGTGTCAACGATAGCCATGTGATGTGAGTATCAGTCACATGGAGGCAGGGCTTAAAAGCCTGAATTTTGCCTGAAACAGACTGAAGAAGTCTCTTGGAGAAGAGACGAAACGTTTCGAAGAACCCGTCCAGAAGACCTATACAATTTTTTTCTTTTTGATTTTTTACCTGGATTACTGAGATGCATCAGGACTAGCAGAAAGTGGTTGGCTGAAAGTTATATCCTAGCTAAAAGCTATGGTGCCAAAAGGGCAGCTAAATTATAAGTTAAGTAGAAAAACACTAGCTAAAAGTTTAAAGTAGCCAAATAGTATTAGAAGCTAAGAGTTGCCAAATTGTAGCTTGATGCTAAAATAGGCAAATGACTTGTTAATAGTAGAAAACTGCAAGTTTAAAAGTTAATGGTAGCAAATTACAAGCAGCAAGGGGTTAGCTAAAAGCTAAAAGAGCAAAAGGGCAGCTGAAGCAATTAAATGCTTAGAAGTAACCAAATTATAAATAAAAGCAAACATTATACACTGTAAATCTGTCAAGTATCCAGAGGAGATTCAGTTTGTCTTTAAATCAAACATCTTTAATCTGCAAAAAATGTTTGTCTAATAAATATGTTTGAAATTTCCTTTAGCATTTTGATTCAGAGAATTATTGTGAGCAACAGATCTGTCAGTGTGTATGGTTTAATAAACATGCCACTAAATACAGAACAAAATACTTGCGTAATTTTTCATTTCTATTCCACCCAAACGTTAAAAATATGAAACGTGAAGCAGAACCTCAGACGTAAAAAGTAATAAGATAAAACAAGGACTGAACATGATGATTAATGTGGCTGCAGTTCATCCTTTTATTTAGGTGTTTCATGAAAGCAATGCTTCCCCAGAGTGTATTTTGAGTCTTTTGCTTTCATTTTTACGTGCAGCTTTTTTTCTATTAAATCACAAAAAGAAGAAATTCTTCTGACTCCTGTTCTTTTCACAAGCTGTCTATGAAATACAAAATATTTGCTGTTCAGAAATTTCCAAAGCTTTTTTTTTTAATCAAGAAATTTTAGAATTTCCAGCTATGGTCATGTAAAATGAGTCTTAAAAAGATCATATAGGTAACCTTGTACAGGAATGTTTTTAGATAAATTTAAATCAGTCAGGCTTTTAGTTGATGTTTCTATTTGCCTTCTCATGATAAATAATTGCTGATGCTTTTTTTTTCTGTTCGTGACTGAAACCAAACCCAGAAAATAAATAAAACTAGTTTTAATAAGTAAACTCATGATCCACCCTCTGGGTTGAGGATATTAAAATCAGGCTAAACAAGTCTTTGAGTTATTTAAAGGTGTGTTTATTCATCAGCAGACTGAATCCGTAAAAGAACACAGTATGAACAGCTTTAGTGACTCCTTACAGTAAAAAGAGGGGGATTCATATTCAGTTATTTACTGATAAGTTTACACCCATCCTCTCTTCAACAGCCTTCTCACACCCGTCCTCCCCTTCCTCACATCCCACTTGTTTCCTGTGATTTGACTCGCCTTTCACCCCCTCCTGTGTTCAAACTCCCTTCAGCCGTGTGCTTCAATTAACAGAAGGAGTGGCGTGATGTAAACATGTTATTGCAGAGATCCCATGTCTCCACTGTGAAAACAAAAGGATGTAATGACGTAGGGGGGATGTGGGAAGACAGAAGGAAGGGGGTTTCTAGGGGATTATTCTATTTTAAAAGAACAGGTGATTGAATATAAAACAACCAACCACATCTTATTTTCAAACAAYACATTTAGAGCAGTAGAGGAGTAATATATGTGTATTTTCATGTTAAGTGACTAAAGCTAAGAACAGTAATTGTGCTGCAAAGCTCTCTGCCTTCCTAGTCACAAACTCACTATAAGAAGATGATTGTAGATACAGAAGGTTAAAATTAGTTTTCTCTGCAATGGGCTCTCCTTTAGAGATGGCCAGAGGTTGAGTTATTCAGTGAAGACATAGAAAAGGGTTGCTGCTGCTCCACATGGAGAGGAGCCATTTGAGGTGGTTCAGTATCAAACAATAACGCCCCCTGGTGCTCAACTGGAAATACCAAGGAACACCCACGACATGCTGGAGTCTCTTGGGTGGCCTGGAAACACCAGCTTGTCTTTTAACAGGTTCTAATATTATATATATAT